GTTCTGTAGGCTTATCAAACTACTGTTTTAGCAAAAGATTCCTGGTATAATGTTTAACATCTCACAGTTTCCTTACAACCAGCAACATTTCAGCATGCTGCAACTATATTTTACATAGTATATTTTATATTCTTATGGTCACCAAATACTGTTTTCTCAGTCTTGCAGGTTACATTGAAGCTATGGCCTCCAGATTGGGCCTCTCCATTCCTGACCTAACACCCAAACAAGCTGACATGTGGCAAACACGTCTTAGTGCACACCTGGTGCGTATATGTAATGAAATGTAACTCAATTACAGTATTAAAAATTGAACTGACATCAAATACAGAGTGCTGCGGAAGCACCTGAGAACAGATGTCAGAACCTTTAGGTGGTGGTGGGGAGTCTTTTTAGAACTCTGTGAGCATATAGGCATATATTTAACCTCTGGCTTCTTCCACAGATAGTCATAGTATGGTCTATATCAGATAAGAGCTACTGACAGCCTGTGGGCCACATGCTCTTGGTTTCCAGCATCTTTCCTACTGAATTTTTCATGGGGGTGTCAAATGGCCATTTCTTCAGGTGTAAAGAAAGTTGGGTTATAGGAACATAGTCCTGCACAGTTGGGTCCTACCTGCCTTCTCTACATTTAAATAAATAGTTGTTTGTTTGTTTTTGCTAGTGACACAGTGCTAGTGATTTTGGCAGCTGCAAAATCTCCACTTACTTCATTATAAAGAATTTCCCTGCCCAATATAAACCCTGTTTGTAAAGTGTTCATGCATTACCACAGCTTGACCATACTTCTAAAAGGTGTACCATTTAAAGAAATGATGCCTTTACCATAGCAGCAAGTTAGACAACAAGGGAGGAGTTATGGCCCCAGTAGCTTCTGTCATGTGCATTGTGGACCATTATCCGCATGTATTTCTGAGGGCTAGGACTTGTGCAGATCCTACATTCTAGTCTTCAAATATTCTTCATTACGAAAAAAGCTCTCCTAAAATTAGAAACAAAGCTCTCAAAAATTTGGTGAAATTTAAATGTTGCAAACTGGATTTATTGTACATTAGTTCTGATGCATGGTATAGAGCAGCCATTCTCAGTGGGAGTCATATGCCCCCTGGGAGGCTGACACATTTGAAGGTGAGCACAGAATAGAAACATTTCTTCACATGCCACCATATAAGATTCATTGTGAATCCATTTTCCATATCTCTTTTTCGTTCTCTCTCTCTCTCTTTCCAGGGTAAGGCTATCGGAGTGACCATTGGCTGCCTTTTAGGAATGTTTCCATTGTTCTTCTTTGGAGATGAAGAAGAGAAAAAACTGGAAGGAAAAAAATAAACTTTTTACAATGCTTAAAAATATATATATAAACTAACGTACCTCAGTTATACAACTATGCTGTCGATATATTTAGAATTTAGCAGACAGTAACAATGTATAGAATGGGGAACAAAACAGCATGCCATTTTATGGAAACACTAACTTATTGTGGCTTTGTCTTAGTACATCTTTTTATAAGGGTCTTTTTCCTTTTTAAAATGTAAATTGTTGATGCGTGTGTTTCACTTACACTGGCAGTTGACTTTAATACCCTCGCCCCAAATTCTGTCCTTTTCTAGGATTATTATTTTATTACTTTAATTGCCTGCCATCAATGTACTGTATGGATTTGGGGTTTGCATATTTATCTAGCATTTGAAAGTGCATGACACAAGTTGCCCTTACCATTCATGAGACTCTCCATTCCAGACTCCTTGTTTTGCTAAGTGACAGATGGCTTTAGGAAATACTGCCTTGGCTCTTTTGCTGCTTTTTTTGTCCAGAGCCACTAGTTCCACAGTGTAGGCCCAAGACAAGACCGGTTTGAACAAAGTATTTAATACTTAATGATATTTAAATGTTTGCCAAACATTGGTTATGGCAATTAACAATGAATGCAAAAAGCCACTGTAATAGGTTGATCACAGTTTTAGGTGCTGCTTCAATCTCAAAATTCCAGCTCAGAATATATCGTCAATATTGAAACAGCAGTGCAGATCTGCAAAATCCTAGCAGATGGGATCTCAACTAATAGTTTGCATGTACTACAGTTAAGAAATGGGGCTTAGCCCCACAGTGGGAATTTGGAAAATTGTACAAAATATTCTTCCTCTATGGCAGCTCATGACAGTCTCAGTATTTATTTGCCTCTCTAGCACTGGGCAATGTCACCACTTGTGTGGGTATATTCCCATGATATTTTTAAAAATCAAATTTACCCTCATTTGATTATAAGTGCTATCATCTTTGCCTGCCATTACAAACAAGAGAAACAAATATAACTTTAAGCTAACCTTATTCCTGAATGCAAGGCATTTGAGGAACCCTGAACAAATTTTTGAAATTGCTGGTGTGGGTTTATATAGTACTATGTATGCACTTGGTGAATATTTGCAAAGAGATAGTAGTATGTAGTACATTGCAGTGTGACAGAGAGGGAGTAGGGCTTGAATGGAATGTTGGAAAGTTTAGAGGGAAAATAAAATAAAATTAAGGTTTGAAAAAAATGTAGCTGTTGTTTTAAAAAAAACATGTTGCCTTCTGTGTGAAACAGATTCCAGTGTGCCACTTCTGTATGTCTCCTGCATTAGGAATTAAAAAGAATTCTAATTTTAATAGCCTTGTCTCTTTAAATACTACCTGGGAGGAGTGCTAGACTCAGTGTGTCTCAGATAATTTTGACTACATGGATGTGTGCATTTTATGTGCGGAATGTAACTTACAGAAATAAACTTGTTTACTTTTCATTTATTTTATGAACATAAGGGATTTCTTTCCATTTTCTCACACTGGTTTTGTAGGCATACCCAATGTGCATTATCCGAAGTAGCTGTTAGCTGTTGAAACTTTAGTAGATACTGCTGACCTTTGCCATATTGTGAATGATAAATTATACCTTGAACTGTAGCACTGAATAATGAACACCTGAATATATAAAAAATCACTTAAGAGTGAATACTTAGCATGGGAAAGAAAATAGATTGAGTTCTCATTTTCGTTTAGTGTCGTAATTGGTTTTTTTTTAATCCTTGAAAAGGAATTACATTGCAGAGCCATGGCTTATTTTTTGCTGTAAAGTGGAAGAGAAGGTACTATGAGCATGGATTTAGGAGCATCTTTATCCATGGGAGCTGACATATTTAATCTGCAATACCTGGTGAACAAACCAGAAAAGCGGGTTACATTGAAATCAGGTTTGTAATTGAGCAGATAGTTCAGCAAGACTGTTCTAGAATAGTTGGGTTTGTAATTTGGGCTGTTTCTTCTCACACCAATAGCACTAGGGCATGTCAGCTTAGGAAAGTTTTAGCTGGCTTGTTCTTATGCCTTTAACAAAAGCTTGATGTACAGGAATCAGTATCTAATGCTTCTCATAGCATAGAGAACGTTATCACTTGCTACACTTGAAACCTGAGTATCTGAAGAACTGCCATCTTCCACAAAAATCTAGTTGTACATCCTTATAGGACTCTTTTCTGGATGCTCAGTCTCCTTCAGCATATTTAGTTATGCCACCCCCACATCTGACATGTGGGATGGAAACTCTGTAGTGTTCCCCCTTTTTATTACTGGTTAAAGACGGTAATGTTTTAGTAGCCCATATACATTTGTTAATCATGTTTTTTATGAGCTACTGTTTATGTCTTACTGTTTTTAATGTTCATTTTCTACCTCTCTTGGGCCCATTAGCTATCCAGAGGCCATTTGTACTCACCAGTAAGAATTAAATTCAGAAGTATTCTAGGCATCCTGCTTACGTTAAGGGTACAGCTGTCAAGGACAGATGGCTGTCAGAAACCACATCTAGAAGTTTATCAAAATCAATATTTTTATATGTACTTTGGTAATTATGAGGTGTTTGATAAATATAATAAAGATGTACATTCATAATAAAGGCTTTTATCCTACCATTCTAAACTAAATGCAGGGCTTAAAGGACTCACACACATTACTTGATCACAGAATAATGTGCTGTAGTTTCTGCTGTTCCCAACAGTATTAATAAAAACATCTGCTTAAGCAATGTTTGCAGTAAGAAAATCACTACAGTATTCCTGTTTTCTAGAATGACTGCTTGGCTATAGATGCCTTCTAGCGAAGTGAATATCTACAGATAACCTGGTTATAGTTTGCATTTCAGGGAAATCTACAAATTTGGCAGTGGACATGGGTTGAATCCCCAGCATCTTACAAGTAGTGAAGGAGAGAACATGACTGAAGGAAGAAGTTGGAATCCCTCAGCCCCACTTCTCTTCATATATAACTGTATTTTCCTCGCATGTGTTCCGAGATGCATGTTCATGACAGATGGGAATAGCAGGAGCTGAAAACCAAATGAACCCTCATTAAACACAAAACAGTAAATATATGTATGTTTTACTTCATCCTGGTTTCAAAGCTTGAATGATATAGAATGACTGCAGTTTCTTTTGGATTTGCTGACTGTTTTCAAATACAAAGTTGCTTAAACTATCCCCCAATGTACCATATCTTGATGGTATATATGGAATTTGTGTGGTGGTAAACATTCAGGCAATGCTCAGCACTTTCACTTGATATGATGCATTAATTGGAATATGAAACCTTATCCCATGCTTTTTGTTGAATGAACATCAGAACAAAAGCTTAGCCAAATGTCAATGTTCTGTTAGGCTGCATTTTTCAAATATACTATCAGTATTGTTCATTATTTTGTGCATGTAAATTAAATTCATTTTGTTGATACTGTTATACCAAGTTACTGTACACATCCTGGTGTTTTTAATAAGAAAACATGAACTAAATCTTGTAAATTTTGTATTTCTGTGTTGAGTATTCCACAGTCTCAAACTGCACTGTTAAAAAATAGCTATTTAAAAATCAGTGATGGGGAAGATCTTCCAAGTGGTGATATAGGATTAGAGCACTAATTTTGTGGATTAGGAACCACTGGAGTACTAGATGAAACAGTACTTCATCAAATGTTCTTAATGTCACTGGCCATTAGTTCAATAAGTGAATCCAGTAAAGCAGCAGATACTTTGAAGTTAGAAAATCAAAGACATTAGCTCTTTATGGAGAAGGTGCTGCATAATTAGAAGGCTGGTAGTAAGGATTTATAACAATTACATGCCAACAAATTGATTCTGACTTATGCTACCCCTTTCCAGCTTTTCTAGATATTGACCAAAACCCTGTTGCACAGCATAGTAAATCTCACTGCAGTAGGTTCACTGAATCAATGGGAATTTAGTGAGTCAACTCCTCCATAAGTTCCATGATTCAAATGAGCCTTCTCTAATTGTGACTTATTGTGCTAAAGTAAGTTACAGTTAGAATAGCCTTATTTAAATAAATGAAATTTATGGAGGATTTTACTTGCTAAATCTCTATGATTCAGTGGGCCTACTCTAGTGGAATTTGCTATGTTAAGTAACATTGGTCATAGAGGACTCAAGTGATTTATCTTCCCTTCTCATGGGAGTACTCTGGGACCATATAGCTTGTCCGAAGCTACACAGCCAAGGCACAAGGCGGGAGAATCAAATTCCCAATCTCTGGCTCCACATCTAGTTATCCAACTCACTGGAATGGTGAGGTGAGAGTGCAGAATATGTCTAAAACTGTGTGTATCTTTTCTTTTGTCCTCTGTTTAGGTAAGAAATATGAGCTAACTCCAGTGTGGGAAAAACATAAAATAACTATTTTCTGCTTAGAAAAGTAATCTGTAGTATGTATGTAGTATTAGTGATTTCAGGGCAAAGAGCGACAAGTTGTTAAATGAAGCAGGAAATCCTATAGTCTGTGAAATTATGGCATCTGTACCTTGCCATAAGCAAGAGTAACCTGCACATTCTGAAATTCCTCTTTTACCTTTAAGGTGCTCCATTACATTTTGCCTCTGGTTGCCCTAACTTGTGGCCAAAAAGCTTGAGGAAATAGGATTTGACTCAGCCAAGTTTGGAAAATGAAGCTTCTTTTAAGAGATCAGTGACATCACCTATAACATGAATATAATTTTGGCGGAAGTGGTTTATCTCATAGTGTGGAAGTAACTTACTGGCATAATGCATAAACAGCAATGACAGTAGTTTATTTTATTTTCCAGAGAAAACCACCCAGTTCTTGGTAGTGTAATGATTGGGACATCTGTCTGGTTGAGGTATCTCCTTTGGTTATTTCCTCCCCTTCATGCCTGCTTCCTATATTAGTGCTTAGGGAAGGATGAAAGTGATTTGATGTGTTCTTACTTGCATAGCTATGCCCAATTGCATAAATCATTTTTATTCCTTCTGGCTAGATTATTATTGACATACTACAGATTAAATGATTGGACATGGCCTATGATACAAACCAAAGAGCCAGCATGTAATTAGGATTTTCAAATGTAATTATATTGAAAAGTTTTTTTTAGAAATTAGTTGAATTAGTTCTGCAAAAAAGGTCAAAAAAATAAAGTAGATCGGTCTCACACTGCTTGTTGAATGTCAAAACTATTTAGTGCTTTCCCCTAAACCTTTACACTATGGACACAAGCTTCTTAGATACTGATGCCGTCTGAATTTGTAGATAGATAAATGAATTGGTGTGAATCACCAAACCAGCAAATTGTGCCCATCTCTAATCTTGGATAGTGTAATGGAAACATCAACAGGGTAGACAGCCTGTTGAGTTACAAATGTTTCGTGATGTAAGTAAGCCAAAGTATCGTGACTGATCATCAACAGGTCTGGAAATTGTATTCAAATCATGTGGAAGCTGACCAAGCATCCAACCACAGCTTTAAACTGGAGGCACTAAGTATTAAACTAGGGGGCTTCTGAACACAGTGCTCATTGTATTTTACAACTGGCCTGCTGTAGTTCCTGTTATCCTCTGTCTATTAAACTTTTCAATACAATGACTGCTTGGGCTGGATTTTAGCTTGGAGTTATGCACATCCATACTGGTAAAATTAAGGATGTTTTAAAACATGTACATTTCTCCAGATGGGAGTCAATGGACTGTACTGTGTGTATTTTCAGGAGAATGGCTATTCCAAATTATGTGTCATCCTTATTGTCTTTAGAAGACACTTTATGTTAGACACCACAGAACAGTATATTAAAAGTCTATTTGTTCTTTCATTGCTGTGGTTTACCTTGGCAGTACTGAATTCTCCGTGAGGGATTTGGCTACAACAGCTGCAGATGTCGCCTGCCAGAAAAGTGAACTCTTTGGAATGTGTTCGGATGAAATCTATAGTTACAAGCACGTGGATTTTAGTTCATTTTCTTTTTGAAACCTAAAGGCATACAATACCTCCGTTTATAAGAGAGGAATAATGTGAGCAATAATATGACTTACACAGATTTTGCCCGAGTATAAAATATCTCAAGATTTTAGAAAGAGACTGAAGCTAAGAAGTATATAGATTTCTACAGAGTGTAGTTTCCAACGTGTTCCATAGTAAAATAGACCATTAAGTTGTTACTTTAAAAGTTGTTCATTCCCTAATTAAACTAGAGAAAAACAGAAAAAATAAAATTTTCTCTGTTCCTCTAGTAAGTTCAAAACATTTGAGATTGTTCTCCTCCTCACAGTGAGTTTCACAACATGAGTGTGAAGTAGGTCAAGCTGAGAGAGTTACTGGCCCAGGATCACCAAGGGGGTTTGTTGTGTTTGTATTGACTAACTGAATGATTGATCAGTTGGAATGCATTCCTAGACAGTGTTGCATTGATATTAACAATGTTACAATAAAAGTGATGTGGTTTAAATTATTCTTTGCT